AAATAATTTTTAACGATACAATAGTCTTCGATAGGCTTAACATCGGCGAAAATTCAACGCGAAGCGACACGCAACGGAGAAAAATATCAACATGGGATAGGTTAATACACTTTTTGTACATAATCGGTTATCCGAAACGTCGATCTTCTGAACAAACCTAGTCCCAATTGATTCGGATAATCGACGCTCTACTGTATTTTTATTAATTCAAATATAATGTATATAATACAGGTAAACTTCTAATAACGACCACTTGTAAATAGCGGCCATTTTTTTCTATAAATTTTAACACAGTTTCTAAAAATGTAACAACTAAAGAGAATGTTATTTTAAATGCATTGTTTAAAAGAAATGCATGCAAAATAACCTTTGAACAACGGCCACTCTTCAGTGGCCGTTATATACAGGTTTGATAGTATTATCATAGAATACAGTAAATTTAAAGATTTAAAGAAAGAACACCTTTTTGCTACCTTGGTTTCCAATTCGAAAAAATTGTAGAAAATAAATACCCACTGTCATCCGTTCCTCTGTATTTTGTTAATAACGAGAACTGCGTTAAAGTCGAGACCGGATATGAAAATCTTATTCCCCTTTCACACTGTAATTTTTAATTTGCCTTTAACTTTTTATTTAATACGATTTAACTACCAACAGCGAGCTCGACTTTAATCGCTTTTCCAAACCAACTTATGTCGATTTGAGGTCTGCCAAAGAATAAAAACATGGCGGAAGCAGATGTACAAATGTTCGATCAAAATTACAAAAAAAAAAGGTCCGATAATTGATCCGAAGAGGAAATAAATAACCATTTTAATTGATATATGCAGAGAAAAATCAATGACATAGGTACTGTACATCGAGCCAAACAGAACGTATTGATATACGAAGAAATGGCGGCAGAAATTGGTTTTCGAAAACCAACTTTCACAACCAGAACGTGGTGTGATATAATAAAAAAATTAAACATTTAACCTCCAAATGGAGATGGGTAAACTATTAATATACTATCAAAGTATATTACTTAGAACAATGGTTGCCAATTAGTGGTATGCGTATCCCTAAGGGTACGCGCGGCAATTTAAAATCGGTCAATTTTAAAATTTAAATGCACGAGACAAAGCAATCAAAAATATAATGGGTGGATTATCAAAAATTCGGCAATTTACAACACGATGCAGAATGCACAAATTCATTTATTTATAACTAAAAATATTCTTGAAATTTCATCAAAAAAAAATGCATTTGTGACAATACCTAAATGAAATTCTTACACAAGAATCAAAAATTGTACAATTAACACAATTTTTGTTAATTGTACAATTATAATTATTATCGTGTCAGCGAAGCGGCAATAAATTATTTACTACCATTTTGTACAACATACCTCTGCGAAAGCGGATTTTCGGCCGTGACAGACATGACAATTAAACATCGCCACCCACTTCTACTGGAAGATGACTCGAGACTAATGCTGACCATAAAAGCAACCAGATTTTACAAAATTGTGCGAAGATAATCGTGCACATTTGTCGCATTAAAATTAAATAACCTTATGTTATTTTCATTATTATTAGAATTGTATTTTAAAGGTAATAAATGTAAAAAAAACTTATACTATTTATTACTAGTTGTACCACAGCTTCGCCCGCATTATATCGAATTTTCTCGCTGTAGAATGTAGCCTGTGTCCATCTCTAACATATAAGCTATCTCTATGCCAAATTTTATTAAAACCTGTTCAGCGGTTTATACGTGAAAAGGTAACAGACAAACATCTAGACAGAATTACCTTCGAATTTATAATATTAGTATGGATTAATATGAATTTCTGCTATAAGGAGTATTTTTTGTTATTTTAGTTTACATTGAAATATGTAACAATAAATGTTTTGTTTTCCTTAATGCTGTGTTTGTATTGTATTCTTTTAAACGTTTAAACTGTAACTGTTATACAAATTTTTAATTTCTTCCCTAAAGAAATAAGTAATACATTTATAAATTGTTATGTATTAATTAAACTGATTAATTACCGAAACTAACTGTCAATAAATATCTAAGTAGGCTATAACATAACGCTGGATGATAAATTTAAACTAGAATGTTCTCATTAAAAACTTCCGATATGACCAGTGTTATTGGTACTGTACATCTAAGAAATTATGTGTAATTATCTTAAAAATATAGCAAAGCAAAACAATAACTTATAAGGTCTGTATAGACCCGAAGATTACATTCGGAATAGTTATTTGGGAATGCGCTCCTAATTACAAGATACAAACAGTATAAATAAATGTTATTTATTATGATTCTGTGTCTGCCTATTATCTACAAGGGTATCAGACCGCGAGCTGTTCGACATGAAAAAAGAGTTAATCACGTGTTAAGAAGTCGTTTGCTCTATCACGTGATTAGTGCAAAGAGAACGGATTCTTCCGCGAGAAGAAAAGCTACACGGAAACGCGTTAGAGACCTAGTCACGTGACAGAGTGACGTCGAAATAGGGTCACGTGACACAGTTTGTGTGGATCCGCCGTCCAGTGTTCACCTCCACGACGAGGCAAGCTTAAGCAATGGCGTCTCGAACGGGGAACAACCGGTAAGTAGTCCTATGATTTTTCGTTTATAGCACTGTGTATACAGGTCGCCCGGAAAAATGTTATGCGTTTTATGGATGTATATTAAATATACATTCTTTTAATATAATATAATTTAAAAAATTCATATTCCCTTAATCTGCACAATTACCAGTTATCTATCTATATAACCCATTGAATACGTGTCAGCCCTCCGCGTAACGGTATGCCAAAAAACGGGCACTAGAGGCGCCCTAGCGATGATTTTAAATTAACAATAAATTATTTTTATTTGTAATACAAATTTACAACATCCCGTGACTCATAAGTTAGTGAACGTCGCGCATTGACTAACGGGAAATTTGTTGTAAAAATGGCGGATACATTTAAAATCGAGATTTACAACCGAAGGTAAATAAACAAATTAAACTATTTTAAAGTTTTTTAGAATGTTTAATAGATAGAAATATAGATCCGTATGACGCGATTGGGACTTTAACAGAGCTGTAGAGCATATTGATAGGAACAAAAAATCAAAGGAACCGTGCATCATGGGAATTTGTAAAGAACGCCCAGTAGGGGGCGCCCCGGGCTACTACTATTTTGATATTTTATCACGAAAACATTACACATTTTTGGTAGGCATCAACCAAGTCACTTGCTGCATATTAAAAATACCACTTTGACGTAAGGGCCACAAATAAAAGAAAAATTCAACAATACGAAACAATTACATATGAAGTATAATTAAACGATTAAAACAATTTCACTAGTCCAAGTAATGTAAAGTTAAACACCGATCCACATAAGTAAAACAACATCGAAATATCCTGCATAGAGTTGCGTGCTTCTCTCGACATTTGGCTATTCTGACGTAGCACTTATGACGTAACGTATGACGCATTTATCGCACGTTCTACCGATTCGAATTCGTTCGATTTCGTATTGCCGACGCCATCTTAAAGAAACGAAATAGACCCACCTGTTAGAAAATTTGATATAATCGAAATGAGTTGATATAATGATAATGATGATAATAAACCCAGAACAAAAGTGATTAGGAGTTAAAAGTTGAAATTTGGTACACAGTTAGAGTACGCCATGAGAATGCAAACTATAAACGGTTTTTTTTAAAAAAATTCACCCTGCGGAATGGAGATAGACAGTTTAAAAATGCCTTGAGAAAGTCGCTTTCTACTGTATTATTTTAGAAGTTATTTGGGTTTTTGCGAAATATCGAACGTATTTCTATGCACATAAGAAAATACTCTAATTAGCATCAAAAGAAACGAAAAAAAGACAAACTATATAAACTAAATATAAAGTACACACTATAATATGATAGTGTTTACAGGTTAGAAGTACAAAATGATATAATAATCTTAATATTTGCTGTTGATGTTCTAACTGACCTACACTGTTGATGTTCTAACTGACCTACACAATATTCTAGCTTTTATATAGGCCTATAGACTTTCAAATTATTATAAAATATGAAATATAAAACCTATTAATTGTATTAAAATTATAAAAACATCCCAGACAAAGAAAATATAACTCAGAAATAATTGATTTCCAACCTAATTAACTAGAGTGTCGAAAACGGCCGGCGACGGGTGGTTTCCCTCGGACGTGACATTTTATTTAGAACACCGAAGATTAAAAACAATATTTTAATAAATAAATCAAGAGTTGTGGATTTGAGTCCCATTCTGGGCAATTATTTTCTTTCGGAATATTCTAAATTTAAAATTAATTTAATTCTAACTTTTAAATTTATTAGGAGAGCAGCTAAACCATTTATCTCTAGCCAAACTGATTTGTTATGTAATTAGTTATTAGGCTCAACATAACTCAATAGATAATCTGAAAGATCATTTGGTAATAGGAACTTGCTGGGTTGTTGTTTATTATGTAAATTACACAATCAATCCGCAAGAAGGAAGTGCTTGACTGTGAAAGAAGCATTCTTTCACAGTTAAGAAAATATTGTGGCAATATAAATTAAAATTTTCAGTTGTACGAAATATGTTGTAAATTCCCTATCTTACAATGGCGGAAGCAATTGTTTCCAATCAAACCCCAACCACTTGTAATGTAATCCGAGTAAATTTTCTTTTTAGCGAAGTTTTACATTTAACAAATATTCTGCCAAATCCGAGAGAAAAGAATTTGTTAAAAATAAACTTTCCTTTAAAAAAAATGCAATGAAAATACTCGAAATATTACATCTATGACGTAAAACTCGTGACGTAACGCGTGACGCATTGCAACGACAATTTCGAATTCGTTCCATTTCGTATTGTTGCCGACGCCATCTTGGAAATTTATGCTATCCGGAAATTGCGAGTTCTTTTTCCCTCCATTTTAACATTTTTCGTACAAATTTTAATAATGAAAACTCGCGTAACGTAGGTAACATAATATTTTTCGATTTATATAAAAATTAAATAGATTAAATTAGATACGCTTTAAACCTATATTTGCGGCCTGTAACCTGTAAGGTTACGGAATGCATTTTTATAATTTTATTTATTATTACAAATATCTTAGCGATATTTTACAAAAAAGAGGACTATTTTAGCATTTTAAAGATAACATTTGCAATTAGTTAATATTCTGACGTAGAACTTATGACGTAACGTGTGACTCATTTATCGCACGTTCCACCGATTCGAATTCGTTCGATTTCGTATTGCCGACGCCATCTTGAAATAGAAAGTTTTATGGAAATTGCGAGTTATTTTTCAATCCATTTCGAGATTTTTCGTAAATGTTTAATTACAAAAACCCGAATAACGCAGGCAATGTAACGTTTTTTTATTTATAAGCGATCAAAATTGAATAATTGTCGATAGAATATTAAGTAAAAGTCTTAAATTTTACTTAAAATATTTAAGGTTGTTTCCACTTAGCATCGAATTAAATTATCAGATTATAAATGATATTCGCTTGTATATCGTCTTATATTCTTTTGAATGAAACAATAAATGTTTTATATTAGAAAATGGTTTTATTATTAAATTAATTAGTTAATCAATCATCTCGATTTTTTCTATTCTTAATATTTAAATTCTTAAATTATTCTAGAAAGAAGTATCATTCTCAAATTTTATAATCCACTTTCCAAAGAAACATGGAATCATTTTAAAAACTTCTTTGCTCAAAAAATTAACAAAGGAAAGGTAAGACTTTTTTATTTTCATTCTAATTCTGTACATTGATGCAGTAGAAAATAGTATATAAAAGTTTAGAATCCTCATTGATGAATCTAAGAATTTATTGTAGTAGAATGATGCTTGAAATGTAATGTTATTTATTCACGCATTCAATATAATCCAAATTGCAATTTTAATTAAAAGTAATAAATTAGTCCTTCAAATTATATTTATTTCATATCAAGATAAATTATAAACATGTGAGAAAAACATTAACAGAGAGTTTAAATCATAATATAATCTTGTTTTAAAATTATCAATGAGTAATTAATATGAATTTATAATGTCTACCTATTGATAACAGGATTTATTTTAAAAAATTAATTCTTAGCTTATTTCAATTATCAAATAGTACATACACTTATTTGGGTAATTTTTTAGAATTGGGGCAATTTAACACCATTGCTCATTCATAAAGTACATAACTTAACAACACCCAATACTGAAATTTACAGATTTACACAAATCAAATCACACTACTACACTTAATTTATTTGCATTAATATCTAGAATGCCATTTATATAACCAGAAGTTCTATCTAAGCTGTAATTAACACTCTTATTTTTGCTAAACTCAATGTTAAATTTTAGAAAATGCTACAATTTTAAATAAACCATTTCTTTTAAAAGAAGTTGTTTTATTTCTCTTAGTATATGGTTTAATTTTTATTAAGACATATGAAAATGAAGCTTAACTAGAATTTTAATGTTTGTTTACTTATTTTTATATTAAAAATAGCTGTTTTTTCAACTCTTCTATGTAACTCTTGAATACATTGATGATTCTGACATTTTATTTTTTACATGTTTAATAGATTTAACTGATTGTGAGCACTTAAAGCCAGGAGTTGTGTGACATCATTTAGGCTTCTGACATACCAATAGAGCAGCTATGTGACATGTATGTATGAAAATTACTTTGTGGATAATCAAGTCAATGGTAAGTGGCTGGAAGTGATTACATTTATTTGAAATCATTACTATATTTATTCATATTTTAGAATCAATTTTAAATAATGTTCTTTTTTAATTGTTCAGGTTATCTGCTTTGCACACCTTCCTTTAGAAAATGTTGATACAGATAACCCCTCACTATAGCAAACAATTTGAAGTCCAATTTGGCCACCTGTAAGACTTAGCTTAAGAACTGTCAATATAAATTTCAGAATACCAAAGGTTTTTTTACTATGTCGAGCATTCCCAACATATTAAAACACTGGGATGGGTTGGACGAAAATGATTATGAAGTTCCATAGATGACTGGACAAAAGGGGCTTGTCTAGAAGATGCCTTAGATTAAGGCTGGTGTGGTGGGTGGACTGGATTATTTGTTACCCATATTAGAATATTCCGGAAGTACCCAGTGAAAATCCTTAAAATCAGTGGATGACTCCAGTGACAGGATTTTTTAGATCATAGGCCAGGAAAGCCACCACGAAATAAGATGTGTACGGATATTATACTAGGAAGTTACAAGAAGGAAATTGCTGCATAGGAAGCAAAAAGTGCTAATTGCCATGTTTTATTGCAGTACCTCAGGTAAGAAATGATCCCACATTAAACTATACTGCATTCTTTTATCCCCTTTATCCAAAGAAGGATCAAGTACTGATATCCACTGTACATGACATAGATATGGAGAATATGAGAGCCTTAATCATTGCAAAAACATCAAGAACATATTGTATTATGTGAACAATATATGCTCTACACACTGCAAACTGCCAAGATTGGATGATGCAGAGCATTTTTAATAAATAGTTGAACTGGAAACTAGATTAAAAGATGAAACAATAGTTCAGAAACAATAGAAAAGATGAAATTCATGAAAATTATTAGAAAAAAGAAACTGCAATCTTAAAATGAAGTATAGTGAAATTTAACAATTGATATGGTGTATAACTTACTCTGAAAACAAAATTGACCATTGGTTAACGTCAATACTTAAAGACGATTTCACAGATAGCCATGCTAATGTAAGTCTATCATAATATATTTATCAAATGGTTTTCTTTAAAAACAAGCAATTATTTATTATGACATTGTCACAATGTTGGGCTGCAATTTCTAATCATATTTTTAATTTAAAATATAACCTCTCCACCTCAAATTAGTAGTGACTTGCCCCTGGTACATCACACTTTTCCTTTAACAATACAGTTGTGTTTAACAATACAATGCCAGTCATATCTCTAACACCTTCCATGGGAATGTTTTAATTGAAATAACGCAACTTCCGGCTTGCATCGGAAGTTCTTATATAGTTAATTGGGGCCTTCTCCCACTAAGGCTTACGTATCGTATTCCGTTCTCGAAATTATGATGAAAATTTTAATTGTAATGTCACTTTAATGCTATTTTAAATACGCATTCAACAATTTATTATTATTACAACTGCCAGATAAACACATAAGGCACACTAAATATAGCATAATGGCACCCGTATTCGAATGTTTAAAGCTGTTATAAAATTTGATATTTTTTATTACGATCAGTAAAAGAACAATAATACATAAGACATAAACAATACATAAATTTTATAGACAATTTCTAAATATTATTCCTCATTGTTTCAATTATAAAGCACCTCGTAAAGAAAGTTTTCAAGGGTGTAAATAATTACGCTTACGAACAATTACTAGAAAGGTTGTTAAGAACATTCAGTAATACATTATCTACAAATAATTAATAGTTATCTCTTGGGGTGCATTTAGAGTTTTCTGGCCTTCATTTTAAAAATATTATGACAGTTAATCGCCTAAATAATCAGGTAATAATTTTACAAAACAATTCAGCATGAATTAATCAATTAAATGCGAATTAAATATAAAACAGCACATACAATATAGAAAAATTTTAGTTAACATTATTAACAAAATTTCAAAAAAGTTCTAATTTAATTTTAATTTTACATTTTAAAATAAAATTGTAATAGATAATTTGGTTGTAATCTTACTTTTGATAATATGAATTGAATTGCATTATTTATAATAAATTATACGATAATGTTTTGATATTTTATCACGAACATATTACACATTTTTGGTTTACAGCAATAAAGTCAGTTGCTGCATATCAAAAATACCACTTTGGCATAATGGCCACAAAAACAAAAATTTAAACAATTCTAAACAATTACATATAAATTATACTTAAAATATACAAACTAGTCGAAATAATAAATAAATTCACATTGATCAAAATATATTACTTGACAATCTCCTTTCTATACCGATGACTAGACTTTTTCACATGTATAACGTATGACCGGACATTGGAGTGTCGCTAAGGCCGACAATGGCCAGCGACGGGTAAGAGGTGGGATTCCCTCGGACGTGACAATTTCTTTTCTATACCGATGACTAGACTTTTTCACATGTATAACGTATGACCGGACATTGGAGTGTCGCTAAGGCCGACAATGGCCAGCGACGGGTAAGAGGTGGGATTCCCTCGGACGTGACAATTTCTTTTCTATACCGATGACTAGACTTTTTCACATGTATAACGTATGACCGGACATTGGAGTGTCGCTAAGGCCGACAATGGCCAGCGACGGGTAAGAGGTGGGATTCCCTCGGACGTGACAATTTCTTTTCTATACCGATGACTAGACTTTTTCACATGTATAACGTATGACCGGACATTGGAGTGTCGCTAAGGCCGACAATGGCCAGCGACGGGTAAGAGGTGGGATTCCCTCGGACGTGACAATTTCTTTTCTATACCGATGACTAGACTTTTTCACATGTATAACGTATGACCGGACATTGGAGTGTCGCTAAGGCCGACAATGGCCAGCGACGGGTAAGAGGTGGGATTCCCTCGGACGTGACAATTTCTTTTCTATACCGATGACTAGACTTTTTCACATGTATAACGTATGACCGGACATTGGAGTGTCGCTAAGGCCGACAATGGCCAGCGACGGGTAAGAGGTGGGATTCCCTCGGACGTGACAATTTCTTTTCTATACCGATGACTAGACTTTTTCACATGTATAACGTATGACCGGACATTGGAGTGTCGCTAAGGCCGACAATGGCCAGCGACGGGTAAGAGGTGGGATTCCCTCGGACGTGACAATTTCTTTTCTATACCGATGACTAGACTTTTTCACATGTATAACGTATGACCGGACATTGAATCTCAGAGAGTCGCTGTGGCCGAACAATGGCCTGCGACGGGTGAGCGGTGGGACTTACTTGGAGATGACATTTTTTAAAAACTTTTTTTAAAAATCTTACTTTGTGAATTAGTTGTTTTATTCACACTTTTGGTAGTTACTGATGAATATTAAAATTTATTTTAATCGTATATGCAATCGTATATAAGATATGTATCTAGTTATATATTAATATGATAATTCAAAAATATTTTTCTGTTCTAAAGTAAAATTTATCATATGTTATTGAAGTTTCAGGATTATTAGCAATTGCAGTTGGAGGTTACGTAGAGTCATTTTGATACCCAAATAAACGTATGAAAACTTTTTTCTTATTAATAAAAAGCTTATTATTATATTAGGAGTCGTTTAAATTACAGTGTAAGTCATATATTGTACTCGGGAAAATGTTTCTATCACTAAATAAACCGTTTTATAAGATCAGAATGTAATTTATTTTAATTTATAATCAAATTCATTCGCTATAATTGATATAAATTTCTTATTTTGTTAGTTTATATACTAATATATGCTGTTATGTATTTGTTATTTACAATATTTAATAGTAAAAAATATCGTAAACAAACACACGTGTTTTTGCGGAGACGTGACATTTCATGTGACCGCAGGGAGCGCAGCTCGCAGGTAAGGTGACGTCATTCTATTTATTGTGACTTATTTGTGACGTATTGCCTATGACTTGAAGCTATCGAATAAATCAAAATAATTGAAGATATTAAATGTTTTCTATTGTATAAAAGCATTATTGCAAAAANTAAACTAGGTTCTGAATTTATATCCCGAGCCCCATAGCTCGTAACAATATTTTATTCAACAACCATAAATGCTGATATGTTATTCATAATTCTATAATATTATCATGCATATAAATTCATTTCTATAGAAGTTATTAACATCTAGTTTGCAAGTATCCAGCAGGCTTAGATGGCTCAACTGTAATAAAGTCTAATGACTTTATTACAGTCTAGACCAGTGTTTCCCAACGTGGGGCCCACGCCCCACAGGGGGGCAATTCGATTGTTAAGGGGTGCAATTTGAAAATGGACTCATAGCCCAGGGGTGGCCAACAGTTTTTGCTCCTGGGCCGAATTGGAAAGAATACTTTTTTCACAGGTCGAATCAGAGGCTGCCAGAATTATCTTACTAAATTGTATAGTACATAAAGATTACAAATACATTTTACACTGTACTTAAAAAATTTGTAATGGAGGGTTAACTTTAAACGCACAGTGAGTTATTAATCTTTTTTTTATAGGCGTCAGATTTTTAATCGAGCTATTCGGACTTGAGTAGCTAATATTAAAAGATTAATCGCGGGCCACATAAATTTATTAGATGGGCCGTATGTTTGCCATGCCTGATATAGTAACTGTATATGTTTGGGACATAAGAATTTTAAAAAAGCTAAGGTAAGGCATAGCACAATTAAGGTTGGGAAACACTGGTCTAGAGTCTAGAGAAGTGTTTCTTAACAGGGGGGCCGCGGCCCCCTGGAGGTCCGTAAGAAGCTTGCCGGAAGCCGCCAAATTATGCAAAATTTCCTTCAGAATATTTAAAAAAAAATTTATATATAACCGAATATCGTATTGAAAAGTAAAATAAGAAAGATAAAGTTTCTGTATTTAGTTTTTTTTTATTTATTTCTTATTTTTTCCTACATACAACTTTGTTAGTACAGAAGAAATAAATGCAAATATGCTACTTACACCGCAGTATTTACTTCTTTTATTTCAAAGTAATTCTAAGAAACTATTAATGCTTGGAATTTTAAAAATAAAGCAATAACAAAAAATCAATTTATTATAGATAATTTAACAAATATAAATTATTATTTAGAAAAATGGAGGTAAAAAAAAATTATGAAATATTTGGTGGGCCGCGAGTACAAAAAGGTTAAGAACCACTGCTCTAGACTAATGTAAAATGTTTAGTGTACTGTAAATTGAAAGGGTTCAAACTATTGATATAAATTTTATTATGTAGAAAATATCATATATTTAGATAAAAAGTATGATGCATATACAAGAAGGTATAAAGAAGTTATAAACATCAGTAGCAACTATGAAAAATTAAACAGAAGCCTTGTAATAAAATTATTATACAAATATATACAGTAGACCCCCTATAACGCGGGTTCATATAATGCGGATTCGTATATCACGGCGATAAATTGCGACCGTATTCGTATAAAGACGCTAAAAGAGACTCGTAAAATGCGGTAAACCGTCATCGCCGACTCGTGCCGCGAGAGGATTGGTCGAATCTGGACCAATAGTGGATGAGCAGCCGAACTACTTACACGCTACGAAGATTTTAGGCGTGAAAGTTGAGTTTACTATCGTCTGTACAGTATATTAATTAGGTACTGTAAATCTAATACAGTACTGTAATTGTATACATTTCTTGTGAATGTAATATTTCTTAAATGGCCATAAAAATTATTTATATTAATGATGTCTCCAAAGTTCAGCGAATTTTTCGCAGAAAAATAACTTATCAGAAAACGCGCCTGCCGTTCGATGCGCTGCTCCGCGAAGAAAACAAGCTTAAGCAATGGCGTCGTCGAACGGTGCACACTCGATAAGTAAACCTACAATTTTTTTCTTATAGCATAGTTTATACGAATTATTCCCAAAAAATTATACGTGTTTTGGAAATGTTAAATCAAGTTAGTCTAGAATCGATTAATTTTATGGAAGAAAACTTTTCAAACAGCCGTAGTCCGTAAACTTCACACGTGATAGGCTGCGATTGGCTCATGTATTTAAGGATTCCTACAACGCGAAATTTTTATAAAGTGGAACGTATCTACCGCGTTATAGGGGGTTGACTGTATATATATGCACATAAAAGTATTACAAAGTATTGATTTGAATTTTACCTTAGACATTTTCAGTGGTGTGAGAAATTTCAAAACACGTTGCAGGACATAGTGCAACTTCGCACTGTCTGCACCAATATCGTGTTTCTTTTCTAATTTATTTCATTATCGCATCACGCTTGCAACAACAGACCGCACAACATCTTGTAGGAGCTGCTATTTTTTCTGTTGGCAGAATGAAGGCTGGAAAATGCCTTTTTGTGAGTCTGAGTGGACCTGGACCTGGTGTTTTTGGCCGACCTCTATATAACGTAGTTTCGGTGTGAAATTCCTTGATGAGCTGTTCAATAAGTTCTACTCCAAACGCTAAATGCTTTTTGTTCCCGCCATTTTTTATAGAGGACAAAAGAATTATATATGCAGATTTCAAGTAAATAAAAAAATATTTTTATATAATGTTTTTTTTCTCTTTTCCTTGCTACCGGGTAATTA